CTGCAAGTGCCACCCCCCACCCCACGCTTTCTAACTAAGCTAACACTCCCCCAACTAGAGTGTACGCTACCCTGAGGAAACATCCCAATGTGCATGCGAGATATTGTGGTTCTTTCTTCGGATGCATCTCCGCAAACAAATACCAAATACAGCAAATACCACCTAATACAGATAAACAAACCCTACAAAAATAAATCTACACATGTTGAACCACAGAATTAAGTGCTTTCAATAGTCTATGAACCAGAGAAAATAAGACATTAAGTTCCAGTACTTTGTACATATTCAAGCAGGTAATAGATGTTGTTTTACAAAAGCCATTGCCGTGGTTGGCAAATATCCTCCTTAATGTCGTAGTGATGGAAACAGATGACGAAGGCTCGCGGACGGCTACCTTCCTCAGGTTTTGGTGCAAGTGTACAATGAGCGCGAGCTAGGAGTGGAGGTTCAGGTAGGTCAAATATTTCCGCCAGAGCATCTGCCACGAACTTCGTTTGTTGTGGGCCTTCCACACCTTCCGGAATTCCCACCAAGTGAAGATTGGATCTGCAGGAACGACACTCGACAAGAAGTCGAGGCACTTAGCTTGCAGTAAAGTGATCTCTTTTTGAAGAGAAACAACCGTAGGCTCGAGCGAGTGAAGACTGGTCATCCATTCTGAGGTAGTGGTCTCTAGACTTATTAAGCGCTCACTCTGGGATTTGAGGTCTTCTTTCAAAGATGAAAATGTGTTGTGCATTTCTTCTCGTACCAGAGAAATTTTGCCTCGAATTTCATCAGCATGCGCATCAAATTTTGCATGAATTCCACTTTCAAGCCTGCTAATAGCAGCCATAATCGCTACACCCTCAGGCGTGAAAAGTTTACATTTACATTTAGTCATTTAGCAGTCGCTTTTATCCAAAGCGACTTACAAATGAGGACAATAAAAGCAGTCAAAACTAACAAAAGAGCAACAATATATAAGTGTAAATGACAAGTCTCGGTTAGCCTAACGCAGTACATGTAGCAAGGTGTATATATATATATATTATACACACACACACATACATATACACACACACGCACAAAGAAAAACAAGTAGATAGAATAGGAAAAAAAAATAGAAAGCTAGTGTTAGTTGATTTTTTTTTAAATAAAAAATAATATAAATAGATATAGTAGAATTAAAATAGAATAGAAAGTGCTAGAGTTAGAGGGTCAAATAAAGGTGGAACAGGTGTGTTTTTAGTCGTTTCTTGAAGATGGTTAAGGACTCAGCTGCTCGGATTGATTTGGGCAGGTCATTCCACCAGGAGGGAACGGTTAATGAAAAAGTCTGTGAAAGTGATTTTGTGCCTCTTTTAGATGGCACAATAATACGCCGTTCACTTGCAGAACGCAAGCTTCTAGAGGGCACATAACTCTGAAGTAATGAATTTAGGTAAATGGGTGCAGAGCCAGTGGTGGTTTTGTAGGCAAACATTAATGCCTTGAATTTAATGCGAGCAGCTACTGGTAGCCAGTGCAAATTGATGAACAGAGGTGTGACATGCGTTCTTTTTGGCTCATTAAAGATTAATCTTGCAGCGGCATTTTGGATTAATTGTAGAGGTTTGATAGAAGTGGCTGGAAGACCTGCCAAGAGAGCATTGCAATAGTCCAGCCTGGATAGAACAAGAGCTTGAACAAGGAGTTGTGTTGCATGTTCTGAAAGAAAGGGCCTGATCTTCCTAATGTTGTATAAAGCAAATCTGCAGGACCGGGCAGTTTTAGCAATGTGGTCTGAGAAATTCAGCTTATCATCAATCACAACTCCAACAAGAAATGTCTGTTAGACATGCTGAGATGCGAGCAGCTATCGTCGGATCATCAGGGTTGAATGTGAGGTAGAGTTGAGTGTCATCAGCATAGCAGTGATATGAAAAGCCATGTTTCTGAATGACAGAACCTAGTGATGCCATGTAGACAGAGAAGAGAAGTGGTCCAAGTACTGAGCCCTGAGGCACCCCAGTAGCTAGATGTTGCGACTTGGACACCTCACCTCTCCAAGATACCTTGAAGGACCTATCTGAGAGGTAAGACTCAAACCACTGGCGTGCGGTTCCTGAGATGCCATTTTCCAATAGGGTTGACAGGAGAATCTGGTGGTTCACCGTATCAAAAGCAGCAAACAGATCCAGCAAAATAAGTATAGAAGATATATATGATTAGGGGTCATTTTTTAGCAACAGTCACAAGACAAGAAGCATGTTGTGTAATGGTCTGCAAATGAAACAAACAGATAAGCATTGGTTTCAGTATCCATGACCAGTAGGGCTATTCTGTGAAACAACAATTTGTAGAGCAATAGTAATTAATGCTGTGCATGTGTTGAGTCGTACAGAAATGTTCAGCTTTGTGGATTTTGCCCTGTATTTATCATTCATAGTTTTACTTTGTGGTTCAATGGTGTGTTATTCAATCCCCTCATTCTTTCTGAGTAGGCTATTGCTCTTCCTTAAGCTCTCACTGGATTCATCTTAACGGTATGATTTTTTACATTTTAAAAAAGAATTTTCTTTATTGATCGTTGTACATTTGGGACAGTTTTTGCCATTGAGATGACTGGGGAAAATGTCCCAAATAAGTTGAATTTACACTATGTCATGTCTCAAAACAGAACTTGAAACTAAATTACCTGTATGGCAAATATATATATATATATTTATCATATTGATTTTTAATATATTCAAAGCATTTTCAATACATTTCAGTTACCTAAAATATGTAGATTTCCATGTTTATTTATAGTTTATTAAAGAATTTCATTAATCTGAAATGTATTTTTTAAGATTTAAAAATATTTTCTTGCTCCTTGAAATATATTATGGCATTTGAAAGATTACATGTAATAATAATAATAATAATAAAATGTATTTCCTTGAGCCACACTATTTAACATACTTTTTTATGGGTATCTTCCTCTGTTCATTTCATCTGCTCCCACATTCTTTGATTTTTCTAAATCTTTCTTTCATGTTCTCCGTGGCTGCAGTTTTTGCTGTTGTTGTAATAATAATGTAACAATAATTACAAATAACTAATATGCTATATTAAATTGTAAGTCCTGAAATTATATTTTTCATATAGAGTATAACGATGTAAAATTACTACACAATTTCTGTTAAAACTTTGTACATTGTTGCTTGTAGGGATACAATGGACCTAAAAGAGTACTTGAACAGGATTGGGTTTATTGACCAGTATGACAAAGCTGAGCTGGACAATTTGTTCACCATCCACAAGCTGCATGTTATGAATATTCCATTTGAGAACCTCAGCATCCATTCTGGCGAGAAGAACACTATGGACCTAAACATCATCTATGATAAAATAGTCAAGAGCAATCAGGGAGGCTGGTGTTGTAAAAACAACCTCTTGTTCTCATGGGTCCTGAAGGAAATTCACCATGTTAGGCTCCAAAGTGTTCAACTGGAACAGGAGTTTCTCCCCATGGATTCTCATCTCATTATTTTAATAATTAATTTATGCATTTAGCAGACGCTTTTTTTTTCACCGAAAAAAGGGGCCAAAATTGTACCTTTTGGGGTACAACAGCTTGACACCGTAGCAGTACACCATACATATTAGTACCTTAAGAGTAGTAATTCGTACCCTTAAGGTAATCATTTGTAGGCCTAGGGGTAAAAAAGGAACAAATATGTCCTTTTAAGGGTACTGTTCCAGTGACAAGCTGTTGTACCCCAAAAGGTGCAATTTTGGCCCCTTATTTCCTGTATATATAGCCTATACATCCACAACCATTTTTGAAACCAGACAACTTTGTTATTTGTATGGCCATTACATAAAAAAGGTCTAAATCCTTAGTCTGGGGCCGTGGAAAATAATTAAAGGTTCACTCT